GGGGGGGGGGGAGAATGTATCAAAATGTGGAGCAGATGTGCATGGCAACCAATTGGCTTCTCCAGTTCAGGTAAGATTTGAAAATGAAAGAGAAGCTGACTTGTTGCAATGCATAACTGCCCTAGATTTTGTCTGCTTCAAGTTTTTGTTTTTTGCATATACCTGCAGGCCCATGTATCTCAGCCTTAACAGAGAAAGATGTTACCAGCTCTGATCGTTCTCTTTCAACAATGTATTAAAGGTTAAAAGGGTGTGAATAAGAGAAGCCAATTGTTAGACTCTTCATACACTATAGATGGAGCTTACGTCCACTATACTCCTCCCCTCCAGCAAAGCAATGTAAACAAGCTCACTGTCCTTCACCCCATCTTTTTCTTGGTTCAGCTGCCTGCATTGGTTAGCCCTGGATGATGTAACTCCTGAGCCGGAACATAGGAGTAAATGTTTGCAAGAAGCTTTTATTGCAGAGCAGACAGTATGTCTTCTATAATAAGCCTTGTTTGCATTTATTGTTTGGTAACATTTCACTTTAAATTATACTAGATATTAATTCAAAATAGACTTAAGGTCTGCCTGCCTCCTACATTATATTGGCTTTGGGACAATTTTCATTTCAGAACCTTTTTTATAACACTTTGTGGAGTGATTGTTCAACAAACACTTGCTACAATGTGTTCCTGTGACATGGGATTGGTTGTTGTACTGCAAAGGAAGGTCAGAGAAACCCAGCTGAAAGTGTTGGAGCCAACTCTTTGGAAACATGAGTATTGTCAGTGCTATGGCTAAACTTTTAAGAAATACTTTGCAACATACACGTATCAGCCATAACACTATGACCACCTGCCTAATGAGTAGATCCCCTTTTTGCTGCCAAAACGGCCCTGCCCCTTCAAGGCATGAACTCCACTAGACCTCTGAAAGTATGCTGTGGTATCTGGCACCAAGTCGTCAGTAGAAGATCCAGTACAGTACAAAGTGTAAACGGCCCCTTAAAGAAGTGCTGCATTGCCCTGATGGAGTGTCTGTGAAACATAAAGTATTGCAGTTGTGTAAGTTAACCCCCTACATGGGAGCACATGGGGCTGCAAGCTACTGGGGAATAGGGACAAGCCCTAGGTACTCACTGATGGTGGTTTAGGTGTGTGACAATATCCGCTGAAGGGCATTCAGCACAACCTGGAGAGTCTTCACCCTCCCAATGCGCATACCCCCTAAGGGGTTTTTAGGGACAAGGCTCCACCAGTGGATGGACCAAGGCCCATGACCAGTACAGCATCCTGTGGCTAACAATGTGTTGCACTACATGCCAAGGTGAGCGCCCTATGCAGGATTCAGTGCCCGAAGTAACATTACAGACTGGCTCTACATTCCTCTGTTTTCACGGCAAAAGGGGTACATGCTCATTATTAGATGGGTAGTGCCTATGTGTTTATTCTGGAGATATATCTCCTAATCATAACCCTTTTAGACCTTAGTGATGCAGTCCACACATACCCAGTCCTGGAGTTATTTGCATCTGCTGTTTATAGGCCAACTTGAGCTCACAGAAGTCCTTATTCTCCATCTGATCCCAGGACCTTTTTGAAGCTCTGCAATGAGTGCATAGTGAAATCACCTCACACAAAAAAAGTGCACAAGGGTACTTGGTCCTCTTCTGAAAAAGAGGGCCACAATATCCCTGAACCCCCCAGGGCACAAGGCTCCTGACAGGGGCAAGGCACTCTAGTCCACCTAGCAGTTAAGCCAGGTGGACCCCGATCCTTGGGGACCAGCCGAAGCCAGCCCACCAAGTATTAGGCAGGGGCTCTCCTGAACAGAGACCCCATGAGTGGGGGAAGAAAACAGACCAGTTAAGGGCATAGATCCTCCCTTCAACATCAGGGCAGGCCCCCAAAAGACCTGCACCCTCTGTCATCTGTGGAGGGAAAGTGCTTGTGCAAAAATAAGTGCTATAAATAAATAAGTGCCACGTGCGGCCGGTACAAAAGCTTCTTGCACTTCAAGCCCTACGCCAGACAAAGACAGCCCCACTCCTGCTAGAAGGCAATAGCACTGCAGGGACCTCTGCCTACAACTGGGGACAAGCCTGGTGCACCAGGCTAGAACCAACCCAGGAGGAAAAGTTTTTAAAAAAAACAGCAACCACCTATTACTCTAGGGAATACTGGACTGCCATCTCCCAGTCTGAAGACATCACCGTTCTTCCACGAAAACTGACAAGAACAGATACTACACTTGATCTTAGCCAAAAGGCCGAAGTGCTGGCTGCTTGGATTCTTGAGGATATTAAATGTGGTCGTAGCAATAAGTGATGCAATTGAATATATAGTTTGATTAAAGTCCATCGCTTATGCCCTATAAAAGGAATAACTTTACGAAGTTCTGTTTTAATCTATATAGAAATTAAACGTATTATTTTAGGAATTGTTTACTTCACGTACATGTGTGGTTCATCACCTGAAAAGTCCCAATAGTCTTTGCTTTAATTGTGTTTATAATCAATAAGGGGTTTGAGTAATTTCCTTAGTACTAGTCCAAAATTATTTCAATAAAGTTTGAATACATTAGGGCAGACTGCAAACCCCAGGAAATATGTAAATTTAAAATTGTGGAACTTTGGAGAACAGCAAAAATCGTGGGTACACGTAAACTGTACACCAACAATCTTTACTACTTCATCTATTCAGTGTTACACTAAAATGAAGCCCCTAATGGATTCCCAAACCCCCCAAATATGTGTAGTGTATGAGAAATCTGATGGGAAGCTGTGTGTGGTAATCAGCATTATTTTTATCACTGTCTCACTGCTGAAAACATATACAGATGATGGCAGGTCTACTTTATAGAGGCATCAAGGGTCCAAATAAATAAATGAAACCTCTCTGTGCACTGGAAAAGGAGATTGTGGACCCTGATCTCCTACCTCTACACCCTACCACCTACAGTGACAGTAAAACCTGCACTACATACCCCATTGGCCTTTTAAAGTGGGCCTTGCATGAACATTAGCTGCAAAAATCTTTAAAAGTAAGATTTCACACAAAAATAAATAAAATACTTACCTAGGTCCTGGCTTCCTGGAGGCAAATATGATGTAATTGTGCCTCATCGCTTCTTATGGGATAGCTGGACACTCAACATCCTGCAAGAATGTGCCCAGCCTATTGCAGAAGTGCATTCTCATGGGATTTTGAGTACCCAGGAGGCAATGATGAGGTGTAGTAATGTCACCCATTCCTCCAAGAAGTGTCAGAAGCCAGAACTAAGGTCTTTTATACCTAGTATTAGTGAAATCTTAATTTTTTAAGTTTTTTTTTTACAGCCAGTTTTGTTTGGATGGTGGGGGTCTGGCAGAAAAGCACGTCTTCCATTGCAAGAAAGATAATCTATTGTGTTTACATCTGCTTTGAAGTGAGACCCTATCACCAAAGGGTCACTTCCCAAACAAATGGGCAGATTGTTCCCCCTAGCACATTATGTATTTTCTTCTTGTAGACTCGAATGCTGCTCCAGGATTTACATTGCAGCGCAGGGAAGCAGCCTTTTAAGGCACAAGCCATGGGAAAGCTAAGTATATATGGACTTCTTTCCAGGCCTGCCATTTTTCTTAATAAGGGACCCTCGCTTTTGTTGGAAATGCAACAGCATATTCTAATGTACTAATTGTATTACTGATTGCAATATGTCTTTTGAGCTGTAGATGGCGCTATAGTGCAATGTAATGTTAGTCTCTCTATATGCATGCTTATCTATGATATCCAGGAAGGTTTCCTGTACAATGCTTTATACATACATATAACGTCCTAAGTAAGAAAAACTTAATTCAGCATTCCTCAGGATCTCAGTGCTTCATCTAAACACATAACCAACAACTTCAAGGTTTTATTTAAATGTGTGTTGCTTTAAAAAAAAAAAGAAATCCTGCCTGAACCGGGCTGAATAGTAACATGCAATGTAATACACAGTTAAACTGCAAAACACAGTCAGTGTGCTGGACTTTTTTTTTAGCATAGCTCATATTAAGAAGATTTTTTTTCTATTATGATGACGACATTTTCACACATCTTAAAAAAATCAGAATACTGTAGAATACCTATAAGCATGTAGCCTAGTTTTCTAAAGCTACAATAGTATATGCATGACCTACACAATTGTATCTATTTCTACTTTCGATCCTAACCATTATAGGATGATACCAAGCACATCATATTGTGAGACGATTTGATTTTTGTTGATGTTTCAAAAGGTCTTTGATTTCATTCTTATAGCATGGTCTTTACAAATACCAATACGTGTATTGGATTTACAATTGTATGATATATACTTCCTGTCTATATTGTCCATCCCATGATACTGCTGTGCTTGCTTAACACTTAAAGTGACACTAAACTCAGGAGTTAAATCCTAAAAATGCATTTAAGTACCTTATTAACAATACTGGATCTTATTTGTGTATAACTCAGCTGTAGATCCTCAAATCATCTCTGAATTGGTAGTGACACTGTCCTTCCTTCGGGAGGGGGGCTACTTTTGTTCCCCATGGTCCGTGTGTGTGTTGTAAAGTAGTCATTGCTCCAAGCTCACTCCCGTGATGGACTACAATCTCAATACAAATTAGTAAACTAAACATGAGATTGTAGTCCATCACCTGAGTGAGCTTGGCATGGTGGCTACTTTACAACACAAGGTCCATGGGGAACGAAAATAGCCACCCTCCAGAAGGAAGGAAAATGTCAGCACCAATTCAGAGATGATTTGAGGAGTTACAGCCGAGTGATAACAATAATGTATTTTATTTGTATAAGAGTTAAGGTACTTTAATGTATTTTTAAGATTTAACTCCTGAGCTTTGTGTCACTTTTTTTGAATAAAAAAAAAAATGATACAAATATAAGTTGCGATGAAGAACATGGAAACATTTTATCATAGGAAAAGGATTTGGGTTATTTGTTGTGTGTCTGCCAGTTAACAGTACATGTTGGCCAATTTTGCCTTGGTCAGTGTCCCAATTTGCCCACACAGCAGGTGGTCAAAGGAACATGATTTAATACAAATAACTGGATCCTTTTGAGTATCGCTGTGGACTGTACAGTATGCACACACTACATTAGACATATTTAATAATTATTTGCT